AAGAGAGCAGAGATACATGGGAACCTCATACCACCAAGAAAGCAGTGCTGGGAGCAGAGTGCGTCCTTTGGACCAGAGGTTCCTACGCAGAGAAGCTCCCAGACCAAAGGAAGACCGATGACATGGACTTTCCTCCAGAGCCGACAGAGAAAGCGTTCCCCTGGAGCTGATGCCCGGAATTTGGACTTGTAGCCTATTGGACTGTGAGAGGATAAATTTCTCTTTGTTAACACCATCCACTTGTGGTATTTCTTTTGGAGCAGCACTAGATGACTAAGACATTAGGATTTACAATACATAGGATAATCACATCAGATCACAAAATGAAGAACAACACAATACTGGGAATCATGGCCTAGCCAAGCTGATACACATTTTTTGGGGACACAATTCAATCCATAACACTTGGTGTTCCTTGGCTTGGAGATGCATCATCCCAGTCTCTGCCTCTGTCTTCACACGGTGTTATCCTTGTGTCTGTGTTTCTCCTCATCTTGTTGGATTAGGGCCCATCCTAATGACTTCATCTTAGCTAATTACATCTGCAATGACCCGATTTTAAAATAAGGTCACATTCATAGGCACCAGAGGCTAGGACTTCAACTAATCTTTTGGGGGGACACAATTCAACCCATAACAGAGTCCCAGAAGAAGAACAAAGAAAGAATGGGACAGAAAAAGTATTGGAGAAAGAGTGGCCGAGGACTTCCTAAGTTCTGAAACCACTAGATAAAAGTACAAAATGTTGTTAAGAAAAATTTAAAAAGACCTAAATAAATGACAGTATATACCATGTTCTTGGATTGGAAGATATTATTGTTAAGATGTCAGTTCTCCCCAAATTAAACTGTAGATTCAATACATTTACTATTATACTACTAGCAGAATTTCTTTCTTTTTCAAGGAAATTGACAAGATGATTCTCAATTTTAGATGGAAATGCAAAGGACTACAGAAACATCTAAATAGTCTTGGAAAAGAACAAAAATAGAGGATCTACACTATTTTATTACAAGACTTTGTATAAAACTAAAGTAATAAAGATAGAGCTATTGGCCCAAGGATTGACAAAGAGATTGATGATACAGAATACAGAATTCCAAAGTAGACCTACACTTATAGGGTCAAATTATTTTTTCAAAGGGGTTCAGGCTATCCAATGGTTTTCAGTAAATTGATCTGGATATCTGGATATCCCTGTGGATAGAGGGGTGAGCCTCAACTCCTACCTCACACCACACATAAACATTAATTTGAGTTGGATCAGAGATTTAAATGTAAAAGCTAAAACTATTCAGCTTTTAGGAAAAAAAAAGGAGAAAATATTTTGTGACCCAGATGAAAGCAAAGATTTTATAGACAGGGCACAGAGATATCTTAGAGATGACAGAGGACATGATAGACAAAATTGTGATAAATTAGACTTCATCAGAATTCAGCATGAATGCTTATCACAAGACATCATTAAGAAAATAGCTAAGCCAGAGACTGGAAAAAAAATTCACAAAACATCTGACAAAGGACTTGTATCCATAATATATAAAGAACTCTTAGAACTCAATAAGAAGACAGAAAACCAGTTTTTAAAAATGGGTGAAAGTATTGAACGGATCTTTCACGAAAGAAGACATACAGATGTCTAGTAAGCACGTGGAAAAGTCCTAGCATCACGAGTCATCAGGGAAAGGCAAATTAAAACCACAGAAAAGGACATCATGTTTGGTCCATGAAAATGAGGGAAACCCTCAGTGAGGTGGGTTGACACAATAGCCACAAGAATGGACTCAGACCATTGAGAAGGTGGATGATCGTGAAGGTGGTGCAGTACCGGGCAATGTGTTGTTATGTTGTGTATGGGTCTCCATGAGTTGGAGCTGCCTTGATGGCAACTCACAGCAATAATATCTCACTGCATACCTACTGTAGGTTAAAGTTAAAAAAATCAAAACAGAATTGGCAACAACAGGAGCTGAAGAGGGTGTGGTGTAGCTTGAACCCATGCACACTGCTGGTGGGAATAGAAAATGGGGCACCTGCTTTGGGAACACACTTACCACTTTCTCATGAAATGAAGTAGATGCCTCCTTTTGACCCAGCAGTTCCACTCCAGATATTTCACCCAAAGAAACGAAAGCGTATGTCCACAAAAAGACTTCAATGCACTTAGCGCCGTTCATTCATGGTAACAAAAACCTGGAAGCCACCCAAATGTCCATTGGAAGGAGAATGGATGGCAATTGTGCGTGGCGTATTCCCACGTGGACTAGCGCTCGGCAGTCATAAGCCACGGATAGAGACACAGTGTGGACGGGTCTCAGAGGTGTGATGTGGAGGACAGGAAACCAATACCCAAGAGTACAAGGACAGGAGGTTCTAGAACAGACAAAGCCTGTCTAGGGTAAGAAACAAGGGCTGGGGGTAGGGATTGACCAGGAAGGGGCCTGGAGGAACTTTCTGGGGAGATGAACCTGCTCTGTAATTTGAGGAGGGGGTGAGTACACAGCTTATCCACTTGTCAAAATTGCGCAGCTCTGGTAGTACGTTTTGACCCATGTTAATCTTTGCAGCAAACTTGTGAAAAACCCATGTAAGGCATTTAGCCCCGTGCTTGGCACACAGTAGGTGCTCAGTCAATGCAGGTGTATACCTAGAGATGGGAGTCAGTCCCGACTTAGAGACGGGCCAGGAGGAGCACGATGGGGCAGGGACCACCACTTGGGGCGTCTGCTCCAAGACCCAGCAGTCCCCATGGGCTCTGCAGCATCTCAGTCCCACCTGCTGCAGGGCGCTTCTAGGCCACTGCAGCCCTCACGGTCCCCTTCCTCTGCAGAATGGCTGCCATGCTGTTTGGGCTCATAATGGGGCTGGACGCCCCCTCTACCTCAAGATGAACAGGCACCCCGCTGTCCTGACGCCAAGCTCGGCACATCACTGAGTCCTACCTGAGAGTGTGGGGGCTGGGACGCAGCGAAACAAGAACATGGTCCCCGAAACAAGAACATGGTCCCCGTGAGATCTCAAGTGAGCCCCAGGCTCTCGGCAGGGGGAGCCCATTGGCTCTCCAGGGCTGTTTTTTTGTTAGGGGTGGAGCTGCACAGAGGTCTCTGTTGAGAGGGTCCTGAGCTGGGAGGGCGGAGTCCTGGGGTTGGTTAGTGACCACTGTGGCTTGAGGAAGCGGCCTCCTGAGTTGGCCCATCCCTGCTCCCAGACCTCGAAGCTCTGTGCAGGCTACTTTCAGCTGTTTGTATTCGTTTCATTGACTCTGAATGTCTAAGAATCAGGGCGCCCCACTTTCTTCCACACTCCCCTCCTGTCAAAGCAAAGCCCACGTCCCTCTCTAGACACATGGACGGCCTCACTGGCCTCTCGAGTGTGTATCTGAGCACTTGGAAGTTTCCCTCCCTGTCCCCCTCGGTTCCACACCGTCAGAACTGCCGACAGGGGCTTTGTCTCCAGCCTCGCTCTGTTGCACGACAGAAGTTGGGGGGGCCAAAACCTGCTGACAAGCGCCTCTGCTGTGACGTGTGTGGTCCCTGGAGCCTGGTGGGCGAAGCAGAGGGGCACCCTCTGGGGACAGCATTTGGGGAAGCAGGGAGGCCTGGTGTGTGTCACCACGAGTGACTGGTCCCAGGACGATTGTCCAGACCGTCTGGGGAGACAGGCCTTCGGGACGAGTTACTGAGAAAATCCACGAGTCAGAAACATCCTTCTCTGCTTCACGTTTGTTCCAGGAAACCTCTGTCCCCAGAGTAGGGCTCACCCCACTCTGGGTGGGCTTTGCTCACCATTTCGGTTCTCATGGACACACCGACGTTCAGACAGACTCCTTACAGTGGAGGGCAGGTGGGGGGAGGCGAGAAAGAGTAACTTTGGCCATGGCTGTGCACCCCCTAGCCAGGTCCTTAGCCCCAGCCTGTTTGTCTTTCACCTGTAAAGCGGCCTCAGTGCCATCTACCAGGCAGGATCTTCTGCGGCCGAGAAGAGTGAACGTTTAGAAGCCAGGGTTTCGCACCCACAAGGGGTTCACAGGTGGTGGATGGCTGTTCACAGAGCATATTAGCCTCGTGTCTCAGCACGGGGTCATCGGTCCCGGCCGGCATTTCTTCTCTGGCCAGCTCTCGGCTTCCTCACACCTATAGTGGACTGCCTAGGTGGTGCAGGCGGGTAAGCGCTCGACTACGGGCCGAAGGGTTGATGGTTGAAACCCATCCAGAGGTGCTTCGGAAGACGGGCCTGGGATCTGCTTCCGAAAGCTCACAGCCTTGCAAACCCAGTGGAGCAGTTCTGCTCTGCACACACGGGGTCGCCAAGAGTCGGAGGGGACTTCATGGGCGCTAACAACAACAACGACCGACCTGCAGTGGAGTAAGAATAAAATGAGACACGAGCAGCAGTGCCCGGGGCCTGCCTCTACAGACACACGGCGCTGGTGGATTTTGGCAGACCCTCCCCGATTAGGTTTTTCTTACATAATGTTGACAAGCTTCTGTGTTCGGGAACATTCTCTCCTTCCTATCTGTCTTGACAGCCCCATTGACTGGCCATGAGAAGGTGCCTGTTCGGGCAGGGTCTCCTTCCTGGGCCTTCAGCGTGTGTCCCCAGCATTGACTACCGAGCCAGAGAAGTTGGGGTGTTATCACGTTGGGGTATCCAAACACACATAGCTCTCAGGCAGAGCTGGAGGTGGTGGTCTCGGCACACCACCTGATTCAACGCACAGGGCCCCAGGGGTGGTGCTTACACCCATTGTACAGGAGACTGAAGCTGAGCTGCGTGTGGCTTCACGCAGCCCCAGAGCCTGGGCTCTGCCCCGTGCCGCCGCCTCCTGCCGCCCGCCTCTGCTGGTTCTCCTTGGAGACCTGCCCGGCTGCGGCTCCCCGTCCAGGGCGGCCAGCCTCCTCCCCTCTAACTGCTTCCCTCCTGCCACAGTGAGCACGACCTGGGGGAGGACATCTATGACTGTGTCCCGTGTGAGGATGAAGGGGACGACATCTACGAGGACATCATCAAGGTGGAGGTGCAGCAGCCTATGGTAAGTGCCCACCGGGCCCCACCCTGCACCTGCGGGGTGTTCGGACCGCCAGGGGCAGCCTGGCTCTGTGGGCAAGCCACCCCATCGGCCCTTCCATCCCCCACGGGTGTTCCTCTACAGCACGTTCTGGAAACCCTGCCCTGGTCCCAGCCTGCTGGGCGCTTCTTTCCTATTGGAACTCTGTAAGGTGACCCGGAGGTGACATTGTTGGCATTGAGACCTTCCAGAACGTGTCCCGTGGGATATTCTGCTCTGAAGGGTGTGGAGTGCAGGGTTCTGAGTCCCTCCTGCCTCACACAGGCGCTCTGAGCTGGGTCGCACACGGCGCACGCCGCCTTCTCCCTTTGTGCGGGAGCCAGGAGACGAGAAGGCTCAATTAGCCAGCTGTGCGCCTTTTATGTGGCGGGGATATTTATTTCCGAGTGGGCGCTGGCTAATAATCTCTCCGTTGCCTGTTTGCGCCAACGCAGGTTTATTGCTGGCAGCTGCTGTGAGGGGGGGCTTGCGGGCGGGTAGGAGGTGGGGCTGGGGGACAGGCTGCAGCCCCTCTCTCCGCGATGGCACGCTAGGTATCCAGGGTTGGCCGGGGTCCCCGGGCGGCCGTGTGGGCCCTGGTGCCACTTGCTTTCACTGGAGGAAATGGGAAGCTCCTCAAAAAGCAACCTTCGGGGTTTTCCTTCTGTGTGGTAGAGCCAGTCGGCGGTGGGGAAGCAAAGAATTGGGGAGAACACCCCCTGGGGGGGCCTTTCCAGGAGCACCTTCTGCCCTGGCAGCTCTGCCAACCCCCAGCGTCGCGCCGGGTGAGAGGAGGGAGGTGCTGCTGGCCTCCCCCAGACTCTGTTCTTAAAAAGCGGTTTCTTGGTTGGCCCCTGAAGGGTCTGGGGTGGTCTTGCTGCAGAGAGGAAGGTCTTTCCTGGAACCAGCAGAGTGCGGCGGGGTGCACTGGGCGGCTCCTCTCCTGATGCTCTGGCCGTTCAGGTAGTGGGGCTGGAAGGCCGAGCCAGCCTGCTGACAGATGTCCCTGCCTGCCCGCCCCAGAGCCGATAGACCCAAGCCCGTTGCCATCAAGTTGACCCCTGGTGCCCCTACGTGTGTCAGAGTAGAACTGTGCTCCACAGGGTTTTCAATGGATGGTTTTTCAGAAGTAGATCTCCAGGTCTTTCTTCCGAGGTGCCTCTGGGTGGACTTGAACCTCCAACCTCCCAGTTGGCAGTGAGCACGTTAACCATTTGTGACACCCGGGGGCTCTTCTGTCGGAGCCTGGGGGATCTTCAGGGTCTGGGGACCCACTGGGACTGGGGCTACTTTATTTCCAAGGCCATCATGAGCTGGGCATCCTGAGAGTGACCGTGAGGTGGGTCAGTGGCCATGAGGATCTTCGGAGGACCCCTGCTCCTTCCCCGCACGCTCTCCCCAGAACCCATCTGTGCCTTCAGAGGCTGGAGCTCACAGTCTGGCCCTGAGCACCCACCAAGGGCCTGGGGTTCATCCCAGAGCCGGCTGTGGTGGGCGGTGGATGGCTTGCATGTCCTGGGGGCACACGGCCCTCCCTGGTCTTTCCCAGTGCAGCATGCCTCTGTCTGCACAGGGCTGTGCATTCCCAGGGTGGCCTTGATGGTGCAGGCAGGCTGGGACCCTGGGTCGGCCAGCGTCCTCACTGAGCTGGCTCATCTGGCTCGATGTCCTTCCTGTCATGTCTGCCATTGTCTGGATGGTCCACGTGGGAGGGGACAGGGACGGGGACGTTTCCAAAGGAAGATACAGCCAGAGGATGCAGGTGCTGCTTTCAGAGTCAGGCGTGGTGGCCCCATGTCCGCACGCTGTTCCTCCGCTCTGCTGAGCCGGCACGTGGACAGGGTGGGGGCCGGATGGGGCTCCTGGTGCTGTTGGGAAGAGCGTGTGGCCTCCGAGCACAGACTGTGGCCACAAGGTCAGCACTAACTGGCTCTCTGTCGTTTCTCCTCCATGCTCTCAGATCAGGTACATGCAGGTGAGTGGCAGGCCTGGAGCAGGTGAGTCCTGCCAGCGCCCTCCTCCGAGGCCTTCCAGGAGGTCCTGGGCCTCTCTGAGTACCCTCAGGGCCCTGTCCCCGGGGAAACGCTGTCATGCACCACCTATCACACCCAGTTTCAGGAGGACTGTGGCCCCCAGTACCCCTCACCCCACCAGTAACTGAGCAGCCCTAGGCTGGGCAGGACCGTGGGCTCGAGAGGGAGACTTGGGGGCGTCTTTTGGCCCTGGCTTCCGACCTGCCCCAGCCCCTGTGTGGGCGCCCCGTCTTGCATACTGCTTGCGAAGCCGAGGCCCCGGGGACCCTCAGGGTGTTTCCTGCAGGGGGGATGGTGTTAGGGCCGAGTGGGTCCAAATGGCACAGGCCACTTGTCAGTGCTGTTCCCCGGAGCCTGCAGGCAGACGTGGCCACCCAGCCTCAGAGAGCTTAAGAGGAGTGTCTGCAATACTTAGGACTGCCTCAAACAGTCTCTCCCCAGCGCTTCACCCCGTTGGGTAACTGGGACCATTCTCAAGGCGATAATCGGTTGTCACTGGGCTGTCCGCTTAGCTGGCGGACATCAGCTCCAGGGCATCTGCCAGCATCGCTAGCTGCACACAGAGAACCTTCCACACACAGTGGGTGCTTTAAGTGTGTAAACCTGCTGTGTACACTGTGGGATCCCAAGCTCCTCCCGGCCAGTGAGGGATTGAGGTTCGGAATTATTTGGGGAGGAGGAGCAAGAAAGAGCCAGGGTTCTAGAAACTTCCATGTCTTCCTTGGTGCTGCCACCAGTCCTCAGGTCCAAGTCACGCCCCCTCCCTGTGCCTCAGTTTCCTCATCTGTAAAACGGACGGGAGAGCGTGGCCCCCAGTCGCCTCTCGTCTCCACCACTCACCCTCGGGTGGCCGAGGCTAGACCCAGGCCAGAGTCCACGTCCTGCCTCGTGGAGTCCTCTCGGGTGTGGTGTGGAGGGACCGGGACCTCGAGTGGAGACTGCAGACACAGCCTGTGGGCAGGCGGGCCCCACTCACACCCCCGTCCCTTCTCCAGAAAATGGGCATGACAGAGGACGACAAGAGGAACTGCTGCTTGCTGGAGATCCAGGAGACCGAGGCCAAGTACTACCGGACCCTCGAGGACATTGAGAAGGTGAGGGTTGTGGACGGGGAGCAGCTGCTCGGGTCGATGCGGGGCTGCGGTGTGCGTCCGAGTGGCCGGCCGCCTGGTCTCCGGGGCACAGTCAGACCTGGACTCGAGGCAGTGGGGACAGATTGGAGGGTGCATTGATCCTCCTGACTTTGCCGTCAGGAACCCCCACCCTACAAGGCAGTCCCCCTGACCTTCCCTGGGCACCCTCGGGCCATCTGCACCCACCCGAGCTGCTGGCTCTAACCAGGCGGCCCCTCCTCGCCTGCCCACCCTGCACCAACCCAAAGGTCCCTTCCCTCTCGAGTCTGCACGCTCATCTCTGCTCCCCCTTCGAGCCTGAACGGGGCCAGGATTTTGGCTTTGTTCCTGTGCACGTGTTCTGGGCCAGGCACGGAGCTCGGCTTCTTTCCCCCCACGTGCCCCTTGGAGCTGGGCGACCACGGGGTGTGCAAGGGGAGTGGGGCACAGTCCGTACCCCAAGGGCCTCTGGAGCCCAGGTGACAGTTTCCACGGGCTCACCTCACCGGGCATCACACCTGAGGCTGGGCCGAGCCCTCCAGACCCCAGTCGGTCTTTGGGTGGCACCCAGGGGTGTAGGCTTGGGCGTTTGGGTGTTGGGTGGGAACTGTGGCCCTGCCACTGTCCCGCATGGGCCCTGGGTGACGCCCTCCCCTCCTGGCCCCAGCCCCCATCCCAAACCGCAGTCACTGTGTGCTCCCCAGGGCTCCCAGCAGGTTTAAGTCTAAAGCCAGGCATGAAGGCCTATGGAGGTGGGTTGATGGCATGGGGGCCTCGAGTGCTTCTGCTGGGCAGAGAGCCGTGCCCACCCCACATTTCTGCCCTGTCCTTACGATTGCTGAGGGCCCAATCCCCCAGAATGCGCACGCCCTCCAGCAAGTGTTGAGCACCGACTGTGTGCAGTGAAAGGCACAGCTGGGCAGCTGGGAATGAGTGTGTCTTACTGGACGCCGGCACCTTGGTGAGCCGCTTGGCCATGGTCAGGCCCTCCAGCCAGTGGCGGCCACGCTGAGATGGTGCAGACGTGACACTGTCTCTCTTCCAGAACTACATGAGCCCACTGAGGCTAGTGCTGAGCCCCGGGGACATGGCAGCCATTTTCACCAACCTGGAGGTGAGTCCCGGCCCCCACCACTGGGATGCCAGCCAGGCCCCCACAATACCGTCCCCTCCCTGGGGTCCATTCCACAGGGTCTGCGACAGGGCGGTCTGTTATGACAGACGGAAGGAGTGCAGCCACCCCTCTCTGGGACCTTAGGAGACAGAGGATGCGGTTTCAGGGGTGGTTGGCGAGGAGCTGCCTGGCAGGCCCGCTTCCGGGGGGCGCACCCCTAAGAGGAGGTACTGGAGGCCCCCAGGGACTGTGGATGGGCTTTCTGCCAGCAGCCTGAGGGACGTGTACCCCTACCCCCTGAGCAGACCACCTCGCCTGCTCCTCGGGCTCTGTGGGAAGGCTTACCTTGACCTAGTCAGTAGGACGGGGTGGTCTGCCATGAGGTTCTAGAAGCTGTGCGTGGGTGGGCTTCCTCCAGAATCTCCCGCTCAGCCTGGCAGCCACAGGATGCCAGCAACTGTCTCCCCAGCCTCACGTCAGCCCGGGGTGGGTGCTGGTCACACTCTCCGGACGAGGCTGACCTGGAGTTCATCCGCCGGGACGGTGGCCGGGACAGAGGACACAGGCAGAAAGGCAGCCAGAGGGCGGCGGGGGAGGCCCGGGTGCTGCCTGCTGGTCACAGTCTGCTCTGAGACGTGAGGAAGCACCCCTCTCAAAGGCCGAGGCCCGACTCTAACAGAGGGACCCCTCCCACTGAGCCCCGAGTCCCTGCCGGGAGCTCTCTGCTCTAGCACACACAGGGAGGGCACAGTCCCAGGGACTGTCTGGGAGCTGCCCGTCCGCTCACCGCTGCCCAGCTCTGGGCAGCACCCACGTGCCCCTGACGGGCTCCTGCGAGCTGTGGACACTCCCAGACCGTGTGATGCTCCTTGAAAGCACTCCTGTCCTCAGTGCACCCACTGGGTAGAGCTCTGTGCTGGATCACGCCCTGGTGTTTATGGTGGTGCGGTGCGCACGCCCGGTGTGGCAGCTCTTCCATAGAAATCCGTCACTGAAACAGCAGAACGTCAGGCTGCATTCTTGCCCTGGGTCCCTGCTGACACGCTGACCGCTCTCCCCAGGAGCTGATCAAGGTGCACCATAGCTTCCTGCGGGCCATCGATCTGTCCATGATGGCGGGGGGCAGCACCCTGGCCAAGGTCTTCCTCGACTTCAAGGAAAGGTGAGTGGTGGGTGGCGCCTTGGTGCCTTGCCCCACACCCCCATCTGTGGCTGGGATCGTCTCGGGATGCACCCTGGCGTAGGACGCAGGGGCCCAGGTGCCTCTGTAGGCCGGGAGTCTGAGCTGTCACTCGTGGTGTCTGCTCACCGCTCCCTCTGGACTCTGTCCTGGCTTCTAAACCCAGGGCACTGGCCCCGCCCTCCCAGGCGCCGTGAGGACAGGCAGGCGGCCCCGCACCGTGAGCTCGGGGGAATGTGCGGCATCCCAGGGACTCCAGCGGCCGCCTGCCTCTGCCCTCCTGGGTGTCTCGGTGTTTGGGTGACATTCACCCCATGTCTGGTCCGGGGGAGTCGGGCCGCCTGGGAGAGGCTCTGCGCCTGTGCGGGCAGGTGGGCTGTGTGTGGCTGTTTCTGAGAAAGGCAGACCCAAGCCCTTCATTACACCTGCAAAGACCCTATTTCTAAACGGGACGGTGGTGTTGGGGACACCGTTCATCCCAGGTCAGGGAGTCTCTGGCTGGTTAGCTGAGTCCTGGGTGACTTCCTGCTGCCCACGAGTCAACGGGGGGGGAGGGGGGTGTGCAGCAGTCTCCATTTGTCTGCTGTGGGCGGGGGGGTGGCAAGAGAGGGCTTGGGGCTCCTTGGCCACCCTTGGACTCATAGAGAAGAGAGTGTGCATTGCCGAGGCCTCCCCGTGGGTTCCAGAGCCTGGCCGCGTGGACTCACTGTGGCACCTGGCCCTGCCGTCACTCACTCGGTGAGTCACCTGCTGAGCCTCAGGCCCTCGTCCTGTGAGTGGCGTTTTGGGAAGGTCAGGTGGGACATGTCCTGTGGTCCCGGCCCCTTTTAGGGCCCTGATGGAGGTTTTGCTTTCTTTCCCTGTGATGGCTCTCCTGCTGGCTAGGAAGGGCTGAGTTTCCCTCCCACCTCCCGCCACTCCTGTGGGGTGCACAGCACCTTCCTGGACACAGGCCTCTCCGCGGGGCATCACGGGTGGGGAGCTGTCCCCCAGACGGGCACACAGGCCGGCACCTCCCTGGACACGGCCTCGCCACAGGGTGTCAGGGATGGGGAGCCATCCCCCAGGTGGGCATGCAGGGCGGCACCTCCCTGGACACGGGCCTCACTGCAGGGTGTCGGGGATGGGGAGCCATCCCCCAGGTGGGGACACAGGGTGGCACCTCCCTGGACACGGAGCTTGCTTCGGGATGTTTGCCTTCATGGCGGCCAGGGAAGGTGAGCCTTCACACTGGCCCAAATGAGCTTGAAGCCCTGGAGTTGTAGAATCTCAGCCTCCCGATGCTGGAAGCTTCCCTGCAGGCCGGCGCTGGGCAGAGTTCTCGGGGTGTCTGGGAAAGTGCCAGCCCCTCAGCCAGGTGTGCAGACCACGGACGACGTGGGGTCCCAGCCTCCAGTGGCACACAGAGCCACGTGTCCTGGGCATCCTGGGTGCTCACCGAGAGCCGGGATATGCTCCCTCAAATGTCACTGCACCCAAACCAGGGCTGCTCTGGAATTCTGGGTTTTCTGGGTGGAAACGTGTTCCGAGCTGCCACCCTGAGCCTTCCAGACCCTGGAACTTCAAGCTGGGAAGACTGTGGGTGTCGTCTCATCCAAACTCTTATTTTGGAGCTGAGGAAACTGAGGCCCCGGGGAGGGGGCCTGCCGAGGGGCCAGTTGTGGGCATACGAGGGCTCCTGGTGCCCAGTCCGCCGTGGTCACCACGAGCCCTGGGTCCTGCAGCAAGAGCCTTGTGCAGTCCTCAGACGAGGCCGCTTTCTCTGAGTGACACTTCCACGGAGTCGAGCCAGCCGCAGGCCCTGCTGCCCGCTCTGGGCAGCTGGCTGGGTGCCTGGGTGCCTGGGTGCCCGGGTGAAGCAGCATTCAGCACTGGGCAGAGAGTGGCCATGAGGTCACTTTGACCGGCTCCCCGGAGGTGAGCCCGGCTGGAGCCAGGCCAGGGCAGCCCCAGACGTCCGTTCCCTGAGTCCCCCGTGCAGGACGGCGCTGGAGTGTCCTGGAAAGGACCCCCAGTCTTAGCGTCAACAAAGCTGGGCCAGTTGCTGGCTGCACCCCTGACTAGCTGGGTGCCTCTGGGCAAACTCCTTGAAGCCTCGGTTTTCCTACCTGAAAAACGGGGCTAATGACGCCGCCTATTTTATAAGTTGTTCTACTACTTGCCTGTGAGTTTGCTGTACGGTGGTGGTTCGTGTGATGCTGGAAGCTAGGCCACCAGTACTGGAAACACCAGCAGGGTCACCCATGGGGGACAAGTCTTATCAGAACTTCCAGAGTAAGACAGACTAGGAAGGAAGGCCTGGTGATCTGCTTCTGCAAATCAGCCAATGAAAAAAAACCCTATGGATCACAACAGAACGTTGTCCAACTCGCCGGCTTTGGATGTCATCAGGAGGGATCAGTCATTGAAGGAGAGCATCTTGTCTGGTGAAGCAGAGGGTCAGGGAGGGTGAGGGAGACCCTCGGTGAGATGGATTGGCTCAGTAGCCACAACAATGGACTGGAACATGCTGGTAATTGTGAAGATGACGCGGGACGGGGCACCATTTTGTTCTGCTGTACACGAGGTTGCCTGGAGCCGGAGCCAGTTCAGTGGTGCTATCTACCTATCAAGTATCTATCTACATGTCATCTATCTACCTATCTACCTATCATCTATCTATCCCTCCATCCTTCTCTATCTACCTATCTGTATCTATCTACCTATCATCTATCCATCCATCCATCCATCCCTCTCTCTCTCTACCTATCTCTCTCTCTCTCTATCCATCTATCATCTATCTGTCTATCCACCTATCCATCTCTCTCTCTTTGTATCTGTATCTGTATCTGTCTGTCTGTCTATCTGTCTGTACCTATCTACCATCTTACGAGTTGCTGTAAAGACTGTAACACCGGGAAACCATCTGCACATAGCGGCCCTGATAAGTGGTGGCTGTTGTCATTGTCACCATCATCCACATGGTCACCCTGCAGTCTCGTCCTCAAGGGTTTGCGCTGAAGCTAGGTGACGAGACTTTAAACGTGGAGTCTCCGGCTCACGGCCCAGGTCCTGAGTGTGCCGGGGGATGGTGCCAGCCCAGCCTGGGGACAAAGGAGAAGGGAGCGGGGCAGAAGAGAGTAGCGCACGCATAGCGCAGGGGTGAGAGTTGGTGTGGCCGTGGTGTCGGGATGAGTGTCCCAGGTGGAGAGCAGGTGCGGATGGAACAACGGGAACCAGAGTGGGGGTGGGTGGGCTTGGTTACAGATGGTGACTGTGCCCCGAGGGTCTTCTCCCACCGGGCTGCCCTCCTCCCCTCGCCCCGTGGCCGCATGGCCACACTCGGTGGTGAGGAGCAGGGAGCCGGGCAGATGTCACCTGTTTGTGAGAGAGAGACGTGGGCCCTGGGTGGGTGGAATGCAGGCAGAGCGTGCTGGCACCACGTGGAAGCCACAAGAAGGGCCACAGCCTCGGGGGTCACCATACCCCGAGATATCGAGGGGCAGGGTGAGTGCCAAGCCAGGTGTGTCCATGCTGTGCCCAGGCCGGTCTGCCCGCCCAGGAGGCGAGGGCCCCCTCTTCAATTTGGCCCCTCTGAGGATGAGGTGGGGTTTGGGAACGCCACCCCTAAACCCAGCTGTGACCTCCTGCTAGCCAGGCAGGGCTTCAGGAAGGGGAGAAGGCAACCACGTGGAGAGAGTGGAAGTACAGCATGCGAATGTGCCAGCAGGCACCGCGGCGGGCAAGGATCCCTCACTGCGTGTTTGCAGCACGGGGCAGGGAGCGAAGGGCTCGCTGCTGCCCCAGGGGTCTTACTGAAGCTGTGATGTGTGTGTGTGCGTGTGTGTGCGTGTGCATGCGTGTGTGCATGTGTGTGCGTCCAGGCTCCTCATTTACGGAGAGTACTGCAGCCACATGGAACACGCCCAGAACACGCTGAACCAGCTCCTGGCCGGCCGCGAGGACTTCAGGCAGAAGGTCGAGGTAATCCGGGGGGCCCCCCCTGGCAGCTCTGGCCTCTGTCTTGCCCCGTAGAGAGGTGGCGAGGGGCGAGATGCTTGAGGCTTGTAGGTGTTTTTAGGTGATGCTTTTTCTCTCTGCATTTCATTGGGGCTGGGGGTGGGGACGAGATGGAGATGCTGTCCCAGGCCGGGGCGCAGCTGCAGCCCGGAGTCGGGTTGAGCTGCGGTCTCTGCAGGGACAAGCCCAAGACCAAATCCAGGCTCAGGGAGGGGCCGGGACCTGGTGTTGGTCCTGATCTGTGTGACCCCAAGGGCCCAGGTGGTGTTTACTGCTAGCTGTGGAGAAGCCCACCCTCACCTGCCCTCACCCCCCGGTCAAGACCTGCTCGACCAGACGTGGGGTTTCCCAGGAGGGCCCTCCAGACCCCCCCACTCATCCCCCCTGTTGGGGAGCCCGTGTGTCCCAGAGGCTCGTGTTTCCATGTTTCATTTTGTCAGCGAAACCTTGCTTTCCGAGGGAAACCTGGTGCTCCACAAAGGGGTGGGGGCTGCTCCCTTGGAGACGCTGATGCCCCCAGGATGTGTACAGGCAGCCGGGGGACGCCTGGTTCCCGAGCACAGCCCCCTCAGTGTGAGCTGGCCTCCCGCCCTGCCCCCACCTGCTGAGACCTCCCCCACCCCCGCCTGCGGTGTCCCCCATCCTCTGCACATGCCTCACTGGGGAGGGGGCCCAGGAGCCTGGCATCCTGTGCTCAAGGCCTGGGTTTCCTCCCAGGCTGGGGACGGGGTGGACAGGTGGGGACGGGGCTCCCCAGGCAGGGGCAGAGCTTCTGGCAGTGGGAACGGAGCTTACAGCTGAGCCTCTTCACGCCGTCCCCCTCGCTGCCCCAGGAGTGCACGCTGAAGGTCCAGGACGGCAAGTTCAAGCTGCAGGACCTGCTCGTGGTGCCCATGCAGAGGGTGCTCAAGTACCACCTCCTCCTGAAGGTGAGCCCACTCGGCTGGCAGCTTCCAGGGGACGTGAGGTGTAGGCTAAGGACGGAGGTGCCTAGCCCAGGGTCTTTGCTCCACAAATACCGGGCGTGATTATCATCGTGAAGACACGCAGGAGAGTTATGAATAAGAACAACAGCTAGATGGAAAGCAGAGAGGGTACAAACAGTCCTCAGCCCAGGGAGTAACTCAGTGGCTGGTTCTGCACCCTTGGCTGGTCTCTGAGCCTCCTGGCGGCCATGGCAGGAAGGGAAATAGGACGGGCCCTGGACGAGATGCAGAACGAGGCACTAGTGGATCCGCCAGTGACCTGGTGACACAGCCCCTTCCTTTGTGCCCCATCACATCCCTTGAGGGTAATTTTGTTGCCCCCCCAATCAGCCATAAGATTTGAGGACACCCCTGCTGCAGAGTGGTCCCTCCTGTCTGCTGGAGCTGGGCGGCCAGGTGATCCAGCTCCTGGGGGGCTTTGTCTCAAGGACACAGGTCTGGGCAGGGGACAGAGGCCGGGCCCCCTGACTGAGTGCTGACACACGCCCCACCCATCGCCCTTCCAGGAACTCCTAAGCCATTCCACCGACCGGCCTGAGAGACAGCAGCTCAAAGAAGCCCTGGAGGCCATGCAGGTGGGCGGGTAGACCAAGGCACGGAGGGGCGGGCAGACCGAGGCACGGAGGGGTGGGCAGGTGGGCCACGGTGCCGAGGGGCAGGCGGGCCGAGGTCCGGAGGAGCTCACTTAAGCATCATACCTGTGTTCTTTGACTTGCCAAGCAAGGAGCAAGAGGGCTGGTCAGACCCCACCCGCTGTTTCCCTGGGATTGCAGGGGTGGCAGGAGGACCGAGACCCACCCAAGGTGGCCGTGTCGAGTAGAGGGCAGTAGGCCACAGGCTCGCCCCATGTCCGACTCCAATTTTGCTGACCCCCCCCTCCCCCCCGCCAACTCCCCAGGTCCCTGACACTCGACAGCAGTCCTGAGCTGTCTGGCTCGGGGCTCCCACTTCCCAGGCCTGGGATTCTGCTTCTGAAGTGCCCATCCCCACCCACTCCCGTGGCCACTGCCTGGGCTGCCCCCATCCTTCTCCGGTAGCAGAGCGAGGCCCCCAGCCTGCCGCTCCTCCCTCACGTGTCCGTCCCGTCTGTTAAGCTCCCTGAGGGACTGCTCAGCTCCCATCACTCCCCTGCTGAAACACCCCGTGGCTCCTCGCTGCCGCGTGGTCCACGCCCCAAGTCCATGTGTGTGGCCTTGCCTTTCACACTCCCAGCCCCCGGCCGACCAGGTGGCCCTGGGCCCCTGTGATGGAGCAGTTTCCCCAGAGTGTAACTTGTGGGGTCCCACAAAGACCTCCGTGACTTCCAGGCATGCCCTCAACAACTCTGAGAACCGTCGAGTCAGATCCCAAGACTTTAGAGACAGAGAGGATTGTGAAAGTCTTGTGATGCATTCCCAACATAATGTGGGAAATCACTTGCATAGATTGTCATTCTACTTTGGCTTGACTCCCCCTAGGGACGGAGAGCTCACTCCTTGTACGGCGGGGCCTCCCTTCATTGGCCGCTGTGCATCTATGGACCTGAGATCATCTCTATGGGACTTGTGATCATGGATCTGAGCCCCATAAACTGACCCTAGTCCTGCTTGGGAGCCCTGGTGGCCCAGTGATTAAGAGCTCGGCTGCTAACCAGAAGGTCGGCAGTTCGAATCTACTAACTGCTCCTTAGAAACCCTATGGGGCAGTTCTCCTCTGTCCTGTAGGGTTGCTACGAGTCGGAATAGACTTGATGGCAATGGGTTTAGTCTGCCTGGTATCAGAGCTCGGAGATTGCTCCACCCACTTGCCCAGCCAACCCCGTGAGGTCCTGCTACCTCCAGACTCTGGGCTGGTGCACCACTGCGCCCGACTGAGTAGACAGCTGGCTCAGGGCCCACGGCCTGTAACGTTTCTGCCCTTGGGTCCTGGTCCCTGGGAAGTTAGTCCTCGTTAAAGACCAGTTACTGAGAAAACAGAACGCCCTCTAGGGAAGGTGACGCTTCAGCGCTGCCAGTGATGAGAGACTGGGGGCCGGGCCAGGGCAGGGGGTGCCAGAGGGGAGGCCGGAGACCAGGCAAAGGCGGGGGATGCGGAGGGGAGGCCAGAACCTTCTGCAGGAGCTCAGCCTGGCTCTGGGCCATTGTTAGCATTTCGGGGAATTCCACCTGGAAAACCCTCTGCGAGGCAGCCTGGTCCTCCCAGTGGGCAGGGTTCAGCCGGCCTGCTTGGGTCTCCTGAAGAGAAGTTGGGTCCCTGCCCAGCTCCTCCGGCCCTGGGCGCCCTGTCCAGCTGCTCCGCGCTTTCCAAGAGAATGCTCCCTCTGACTTGCAAGTGGGCACTGCCCCCCGGTGGCCGGCCCGGGGATTGCAGCGTGGTGGGTGTACGTTGGGCAAACCCAACCCCTGCATGACAGGTAGGGGGTGCAGCCCCAGGCCCGATGGGAGCACAGACCTGGGCTCACGTGGGAGGTGGGGAGCACAGACCCAGCCCGCACTGCACAGGAAGTGGGAGGCACGCCGACATAGCCCCTACACAGATGCACACAGCGACCTCTCATTTTGCTGAGGCTCCCGGGGAGGCGCCGACTTGCCGCGGTCCCACTTCTCAAGAACTGAAACGTGGGCTTCCCTGAATCTACTTGTCTGCTCCGTGGCTGCTCGGCCATCCAGGGCTCTTTCTGTTTTAACATGGGCGCCATCGCAGGACTTGGCAGGAAAGAGCTGGGGTCAGGAGGGTGGGGTCTGCTCACGGGCCCCGGCTCGCCGCTCCACCTTCCCTGGCCTCGGTCTCCTCCCGTGCACGTGGGTGCGTGTCTCACCCCACCCCGTCCTCCTCCTACGGAGGGTCGGGCACCTCTAACGGGACACCAGAGGGGGCTTTGCATGACGTCCTGCCCTGGAGCCGGTGCAGGACCTGCTAACCCCTGCTCTGTTGTCTTCAAGGACCTGGCCATGTACATCAACGAGGTCAAGCGGGACAAGGAGACCTTGAAGAAAATCAGCGAGTTCCAGAGCTCCATCGAGAACCTGGTGAGTGCGTGGCTCTGCAGATGAGCGCGGACGCTCGACGGCCGTCTCTTGACAAGACAGTTACTGTCACAGGCCCAACGCCAGTGATGGGTCGGGGCGTCCTCTGTCCCCGAGTGTGGAGGGGACACCCCAGCAGCGTCTGGGGCTGGTCCCATTGCCGACTGCCTGGGTCAGAACCCTCTCACTCAACCGACGTGTCCCGCCCCGCAGGGAGGAAGGCCCGGTTGTCGGTGGGGATGCCTAGTGGACGAGGCAAGAACAGCACTAATCACCTGGTCTCCTGGTTCTCCTCCCTGGCCCAGGACAGTGGGCTCTCTCGGGTCCAAGGGGAGGGATCAGGCTCCTCCCGGCCCCCCTGCTTCACCCTCATCTTCACCATCCCTGAGAGAGGATGTGGTCCCAGGTGGGCGGGGCCCAGCAGTCGTCCTTCCCCTGCCTGAGGGTCCCCCTCGGGGTTCCCTATCTCCATCAGACAGGGCTGCTCCTCCCGGACCCTCTCCCCGGCCTGGCGTCGGGCCGGCCGCCGTGTTCTCCTCTAGCGGAGGAGACTGGCCGTCCAGGAAGCTCGTGGGCCAGCTGTGCCAACCACCACTGACTCCACTCGGGTGGTTAAAGCAGGTCTCTCGGCCTCAGAGCCACTGACATTTGGGGGCAGACGTTTCTAGGCCATGGGGGCCGTCCTGTGCATTAAAGGCTGCTGAGCAGCATCCCTGGCCTCCCCACTAGATACCAGTGGTACTTCCCTCCCACAGTGGTCACGACCAGAATGTCTCCAGACAAAGTGTGCCCTGGGGACTAACGTCACCCTGGTGGAGAAGCACTGGCTTCAGCACAAGCATCTTCGCCCCCTGACCCCTGGCAGGCCCAGGTGAGGCCCTGTGGAGGGAGACCCGATACAGGAGCCTTGGTGGAGGAAAACCCCGGGGGCCCGGCCACCCTGGCTGCCCCCTCCTCACCCAGCCAGGGTCACACGCTCAAGACAGGGTGAAGAACCAGTCCCAGCAAGCATCGTGTGACACGGAAAATGTTCACGATGTGTCGTCAGTCACAGGAAGAAAAGAAGTGACCAAGTGGGATTAGGATACGAACCCAGCTGACTTTTTAGAAAGAAAAAGAATGTCCGAGACATTGGTGGCTCCGTGGTAGAATTCTCACCTTCCAGGCAGGAGACCCAGGTTCCATTTCCAGCCAGTGCACTTCAAGCACAGCCACCGCCCATCTGTCAGTGGAGGCTTGTGTGTGGCTATGATGCTGAACAGGTTTCAGCAGAGCTTCCAGACTAAGACTAGGAAGAAAGACCTGGCAATCTACTTCCAAAAACCAGACAGTGAAAACCCTATGGAGCACAGGGGTCCAGTCTCGTTGTGCATGGGGTCGCCATGAGTCGGGGGCCAGCCTGACGCAGTGAACAGCACAAGAATGTCTGCGTGTGAAGGGGAGAAAGAATGGACATGCCCCAAACTGTTAACAATCGTCACAGTGCCGTGCGGGCCTGGGCACTGACGTGGCTGCCCTCGTCTGTCATCAGGGTTTTCTACACGCTGCACAATGGGCTGGTGTTACTTTTGTAACATGAAAGGTTTCTCTTTTTAAGGTTTTATGCGCGAGTAACACTTGTTTGCTAAGTGACAGCAGTCATGCAGCGACGGTCGGCAGCCATCGGGCTTTCCTGAGGCCTGGGCTCGGGGTTCAGCCCTGGCCTTATCTCCTTCAGTCCACTTCTGACCAAAGGAGGTCAGTGTCTTTACTTTCTGCACTTCAGAGATGAGAAATGGAGGCCTGCGCTGTGTGACGCCTGAGCTGTGCTCTTGCCTGTCGCACTCAGAAGCTTCTGGAAACTTGGAAGAAGGCGCTGATAACCATCTGTCACAGCACCTCCCACTCACAGCCCTGGGGAGTCTTGGTGTGTCCCTGCGATCCTTTCCCTGTTTGTAGATTTCTCCTTGACTCCATCTACGTCGTTAAGATCGACTCTACTTTGAAGAGGCAGCTCTTCCCAAATCATCTTTGAGTGCCTTCCAACGTTGGGGGCTCATCTTCCGGCACCATATCAGACAGTGTTCCCCTGCTATTCGTAAGGTTTTCACTGGCTGATTCTTTTCAGAAGTAGACTGCCGAGTCCTTCTTCCTAGTCTGACTTAGTCTGGAAGCTCAGCTGAAACCTGTCCACCATGGGTGACCCTGCTGGTATTTGAATACCAATGGCATAGCTTCCAGCATCACAGCAACACGCAAGCCCCCACAGCAGGACAAACTGACAGACGCCTGGATGGAGTCAAGCTTTCAAGACCTTCATTTGCTGATCTGGTAGAACTCAGAGTGAGAAGAAACAGCTGCAAACATCTGTTAATAATTGGAACATGGAACGTACAAAGTATGAATCTGGGAAAATTGGAAATCTTCAAAAATGAAATGGAATGCATAAACAAAGATATCCTAGGCATTAGTGAGCTCAAATGGACTGGTATTGGCCATTTTGAATCCGACGCTCATATGGTCTACTGTGCCGGGAATGACAAATTGAAAAGGACTGGCGTTGCATCATCGTCAGAAAGAACATTTCAAGATCTATCCTGAAGTACAGTGCTGTCAGTGATAAGATAATATCCATACACCTACATGGAAGACCAGTTAATACGACTATTATTCAAATTTATGCAGCAACCACTAAGGCCAAAGATGAAGGAGTTGAAGATTTTTGCCAACTTCTGCAGTCTGAAATTGATCGAACATGCAATCAGGATGTATTGATAATGACTGGTGATTGGAATGCAAAAGTTGGAAATAAAGAAGAAGGATCCATAGTTGGAAAATATGACCTTGGTGATAGAAACAATGCCTGAGATCGCATGCTAGAGTTTTGCAAGACCAATGACTTCTTCATCGCAAATACATTTTTTCACCAACATAAACAGCGACTATCCACGTGGACCTTGGCGGGTGGAATACACAGGAATCTAATCGACTATATCTGTGGAAAGAGACGATGGAAAAGCTTAATATTATTAGTCAGAACAAGGCCAGGGACCGACTGCAGAACAGACCATTAATTGCTCATATGCAAGTTCAAACTGAAGCTGAAGAAAATTAGAACAAGTCCACGAGAGCCAGAGTATGACCTTGAGTATATCCCACCTGAATTTAGAGACCATCTCAAAAACAGATGTGAAGCATTAAACACTAATGACCAAAGACCAGACGAGTTGTGGAATGACATCAAGGACATCATACATGAAGAAAGCAAGAGGTCATTAAAAAGACAGGAAAGAAAAGACCCAAATGGATGTCAGAAGAGACTCTGAAAGTTGCTCTTGAACGTCAAGTAGCTAAAGCAAAAGGAAGAAATGATGAAGTAAAAGAGCTGAACAGAAGAGCAGAAGATTTCAGAGGGTGGCTCGAGAAGACAAAATAAAGTATTATGATGACATGTGCAAAGAGCTAGAGATAGAAAACCAAAAGGGAAGAACACGCTTGGCATTTCTCAAGCTGAAAGAACTGAAGAAAAAATTCAAGACTTGAGTTGCAATATTGAAGGATTCTACTGGGAAAATATTAAATGACACAGGAAGCATAAAAAGAAGATGGAAGGAATACACAGAGTCATTGTAACAAAAAGAATTGGTATCAGATGTTCAGTCAGTTTCAGGAGGTAGCATATGATCAGGAACCGATGGTACTGAAGGAAGAGGTCCAAGCTGCACTGAAGGCATTGTCGAAAAGCAAGGCTCCAGGGATTGACAGAATACCAATTGAGATGTTCCAACAAACGGATGCAGTGCTGGACGTACTCACTTGACTATGCCAAGAAATTTGGAAGACAGCTACCAGGCCAACCAACTGGAAGAGATCCATATTTATGCCTATTCTCAAGAAAGGTGATCCAATGGAATGCGGAAATTATCGAACAATATCATTAATATCACACACAAGTAAAATTTTGCTGAAGATCTTTCAAAAGCGGCCGTAGCAGTACATTAACAGGGAACTACCAGAAATTCAGGCCGGATTCAGAAGAGGACATGGAACCAGGAATATCACTGCTGATGTCAGGTGGATCCTGGCTGAAAGCAGAGAATACCAGAAAGATGTTTACCTGTGTTTTATTGACTATGCAATGTGTGGATCATAACAAATTATGGATAACATTGCGAAGAATGGGAATTCCAGAACACTTAATTGTGCTCATAAGGAACTTGTACATAGATCAAGAGACAGTCGTTCAAACAGAACACAAGGGAATACTGCGTGGTTTAAAGTCAGGAAAGGTGTGCATAAGGGTTGTATCCTTTCACCGTAGTTATTCAGTCTGTGTGCTCAGCAAATAATCCGAGAAGCTCCACTATGTGAAGAAGAGCGGGCCATCAGGATCGGAGGAAGACTCATTAACCACTTGTGTTATGCAGATGACACAACCTTGCTTGATGAAAGTGAAGAGGACTTGAAGCAGTTACTGATGAAGATCAAAGACCACAGCCTTCAGTGTGGATTACACCTCAACATAAAGAAAACAAAAATCCTCACAACTGGACCAATAAGCAACATCATGATAAATGCAGAAAAGATTGACGTTGTCAAAGATTTCATTTTACTTGGATCCACAATCAACACCCATGGAAGCAGCAGTCAAGAAACCAAAAGATGCATTGCACTGGGCAAATCCACTGCAAAAGACCTCTTTAAAGGGTTGAAAAGCAAAGATGTCACCTTGAGGTCTAAGGTGCACCTGACCCAAGTCATGGTGTTTTCAGTTGCCTCGTATACGAGCAAAAGCTGGACAATGAATAAGGAAGACCAAGGAAGAATCGATGCCTTTGAGTTGTGGTGTTGGAGAAGAATATTGAATATACCATGGACTGCCAAAAGAACAAACAAATCTGTCCTGGAAGAAGCAAAGATGGCCAGACTTCGTCTCATATACTTTGTACATGTTGTCATCAGGAGGGATCAGTCCCCGGAGAAGGACATCATGCTTGGTAAAGTAGAGGGTCAACGAAAAAGAGAAAGACCCTCAATGAGATGGATTGACACAGTGGCTACAACAATGGGCTCAAGCATAACAACAATTGTGTGGATGGCGCAGGACCCAGCAGTGTTTCGTTCTGTTGTACATAGGGTCGCTATGAGATAGTACCAGCTCGACAGCACCTAACAACAGCAACAGACTTCTCTTTTGGAAGCCACTCAGGGAAGCTGTCAAGTGAAGCTCTGTTTGAATCAGATCATAGCAGTGGAAGATCAGACCAAACGAGAAACAAAAATGAAGTCTCAGCAAGCCAGAGGCGGCCGGGCGCGGAGCCTGTCCTATGGATGATGAACCACTGGCCTCCCTCTGTCTGAGAAGCGCTGTTTGTTCTCTCCTCTGGCTTCTCGGCTGGCGCCTGGCTTTTCCTGCAGGCCCTGCTCGATGCACACAACAGGGGCCTTTTAACAGGATGCACGCCATCAATCGCTCTTTGTCCCCATGTGCTGGGGGAACGGGCTGGGCCGGGGGTGGGCGACAGGAGGCCCTGGGCCCAGTTCCAGTCCCACCTTTTGCACCCCTTTGTCCGAAGAACCAGCCAGAAACCACTGGGCTCACTTCCTTTCGCTGCTGCCTTTGGTGTCTATGGGAGGTACCCCCAGGACGAGCACCCATCCGCCCACCCTATGTAGGTGGCAGGAGGACAGGGGTTGCCAGCACGGGCTCACAGTGTCTTTGTTTCCCAGCAAGTGAAACTGGAGGAGTTTGGGAGGCCGAAGATAGACGGCGAGTTGAAAGTCCGCTCCATAGTGAACCACACCAAGCAGGACAGGTGAGCAGGGCCTGCGCTGGGTGGGACCCCACAGCGGGCTGGCACTGCGTGCAGGGAACCCCACTCCCGAGCAAGCCTGGAAACGGGCCTTCCTGTGACAGGAGCGGCCTTGGGCTGGCTGTTTTGTTCAGCTCTAATTGCTTCCTTCCTCCTCGGGGAGAGCGGCCGCGAGCTGTCCCCAGTGGCTGTCATGCCCACGGCCGGCACTGGGCTGGGCTGGGGGGGCAGCCAAAGGCAGCGACCGGCATCCCGCCTGCGTGCTCAGTCTACTGCGCCTGTACCACCCAGAGCCGGCCATGAGCCTTCTGTGGACGGCTGTGGGGAGGGGGCGAGCCGGGGTTCACGGGCGGTGGTCGGGGAGGGGGCGAGCCGGGGTTCACGGGCGGTGG